CTAGGATGCCACCTTTTTGCTGTTTGGAACTTCCAGCTATTAGTGTTCTGAGCCAGGAGAGCCTCTGTTGCTTTATAAAATACCAGCTCCGTATTTTGTTACAGCATCACAAACCAGACCAACATAGAGAACACGGGGATCTCTGGCAACACAGTATGGTCTGGCCAATACTGTGGGAGGTGGAGGTGCTGAAAGTGCCCTTCTGCAGAAGTCCCTGAGACATAATAGGAGAACCCAGCCCTCCCCAAAATGAGGGAAGCTGGATCAGAGGAGCAGGGGGCAGTGGTACATTAAGACCTTGTGGACAAGCACTTAACTCAAGGTTGAGTGGTATGGAGGTAGAAAGATAGGTCAGGGTTCCAGTAAGAGGGTGGCATGGTCTTCCCTCGGGTACTCAGGTTTGACTTTTGGCAGTTGTCCTTAGACTTTGTTACTTTAAAAACCTTGTATGGGTACGTAAATGGTTTAAATACTTTTCTTTTTCCATTGATGTGACTGTGTATTTCTTCTGTTAATTTGGTATATTGCACTGGTTGATTTCCAAATCCTATCGTTACTATGCATAATTATTTTCATATGTTGCTAAGTTCTATTTATAAAATGACTCAATCACATTAATATGGCCATTGCCTCATACACTTACCAATTTTGTGATGAGATCATTCACTACAAGTCAATGATTTTCAAGAATATGAAATTGTGAACTGTGATGTCCATGCTATATATAAGATGCATGATTAGCAGGTATTCCTCTTGTCTAACGGAAACTGTATACCCTTTAGCAATTCCCCAACCCCCACTTCACCCTTCCCTTCTCTGCCTCTCTGAGTTCGTGTTTGAGTGGATTTTTGCACTATTTATCCTTCTGTGCTTGCTTTGTTTCACTCTTCACAGCATCTTGTGGGATCTTCTATGTTGGACCAAATGATAGCATTTTTATGGCAGATTAGTGTTCCATTGTGTGTACATACAATACTTTTCTTATTTATCTGTGAGTTGCTGGGCACTTACTGATTTCCTGTCATGTAAATAGTGCTGCAGTGGACGTGGAGGTGTGTCTGAAATATTCATTTCCTTTAGATCTGTGCCCAAGTATGAAATTGCTAGGTCCTATCGTGGTTCTGTTTTTGATTTTTGGAAGAATTTCCATAGTGTTTTTCATAATCGTTCTGAGTTCCTGTCTCTTTGTGAATGTTAGTGTCTTGGTGATAGCCACTCTAAAAGACTTGAGGTGGTATTTCACTGTGGTTTTCGTTTGCATGTCTCTAACTCTTATTGAGAAACTTAAGTGCTGGCTAACTTATTCTGCCATAAAAATGTACTCTCTATTTTAGATATTTGCCCACATCAGAGGTTTGGTTTATAGATATTTTCTCCTGTCTGCTAATTGTTTCCTTCATTGAGCAGAGACGTTTTTAGTTTGATTTAGTCTGTTATTTATTTTTGTGTTTCCTGTGCTTTGGGGATCATTTAAAAAAAAAAAAAAAAAAAAAACATTGTCCAAACCAAAGCCACAGAACTCTTCCTCTAGTGCTTCCTAGTTTCCTATCTGACATTAAGTCTTCCACCCATTGTTTTTGTGGAGGTGGAGGTGGATATAAACGGTAAGAACCCAGTGTTACTCTTTAGCATATGGATACTCAGTTTTCCCAACACCTAATCACTGAGGGAGCCATCTTTCCTATGTGGTCAGTTTCCTGTTGCCACCATAGGACTGGTTGTTTTTAGTCTACTGTCATTTTTTAAATTATGCTATTTCCATTTCATGTAAATACATGTCATTATTGAAATGTCAGGGCTCAAGTTTATCATTTCATTTTTAGTTCCTTGTTTATTCTTTTATCTGACTTATAAGGCTTTCTCTTGCCTTCCTGGGAGTTATTAAGCTTTTTAAAAAATTCCATTTTGATTTGTTAATAATTCATGACATCATTTTACCAGTTTGAAGGGGAGGTAGAAAGCATTCATGTCAGACAGTGCAGTAATTTTTACTTTAGCCACCAGAAATAATTTAAGAAACCAGAGAACAGAGGCCTATGGTATTTACCCTCATTTAAAAGTGCTCCTTTTCAAGATTAGGATTCTCAGCACATATTATACAAACTAGTGGCATCCCTATGGTGAGCCCACAGGGAGAGTGTTTGTGTGTGTTGATGTCCATCCACCCTTCTTTGCACTTACCACAATTGACCTGCTGTGTTGGTTAGCCCCTCCTACCACTGTGGAGGAATTTCTCCCCCACTATGCTCCTGGAGTGGAGCCCTAGGCAGCGATTTCTTGCTTTTCCTTCATCCTAGAGTTCCATCTTCTCCTTTCCTGGACCTGTGGTTCTTATCGAGCAGCCTTTTCCTTCTGAGCACTTCCGTCTCAGCTGTACCTGGCTATAGTCCCTGATGGTTGGGCCACTATCTGCTCATCTCTGTTGTTCCGTCATCTAGACGACCAACTCTGCTGCATACCCCTGGCTCCATCATTGGCATTTTACTGACACTGTACCCTTCTTTTTATCTTTCATTAATTTATCAAGAATGTTGCTTCTCTGCTGAGTCAATGTCTTCTCATTGGACTAAAGAGATGGCTCAGTAAGTAAGTGTGCTGGGCAAGCATGAGGACCCGAGTTTGGATTTCAGAAGCTGGGTATGCTATTCCCCATGCTACCTGCAAGCCTAGCCCTGAGGGAGGTGCATCTCTGGGGTTTGCTGGCCACTAGCCCAGCTAGAGAACACAAGTTCCACAGATCCTGCCTCAAAGGGACAAGGCAGAGAGTGACAGAGGAGGATACCCAATGGCCTCCTTATGCATAGTGCATGCTCACATGTACACACATCATACACATCACCACCACCACACAAACGATATTCCTGTGTGTTCATAGAAACACTGTTATGATGGCCGATTCACAGATGTCAGCTAATATTAATGTCTCTGTCACCTTGGGATTGGCATTGGCTGATTGCCCTTCATCCACTGTGAAATCTCCATAGACTTGGCATGGCAGGTCATTCCTGTTGAAACCTGATGGTTTGGGCATTAAGGACTAAGGCTCTGGCCCTTGGCCTTCCTTTTCCACTAGCTTCTCCTGACTGTGCGCTGGTGGGAAGCAAAAGGGTGGAGGTGCAGCTTTCTCCTGGACTTGTATAGTCATCCAGGCATGGAGAAACTCCTTACTGCCGAGCCAGAGTTCTGGCTCCTACTGTCCCTTCATTATCCCTCTGGCTTTGCAGAGGAGCACGGCTCCTTCCTGCTCCCCACAGCCTGCCCCTGACACCGTGAGCCAGGACTTATCCCTGGGGTTGGAGTGCTTCTGTTTCGCCTAATGAAGGCAAGAGGTGCTCACCACTGAGCCCTGCTTTGAGAAGAGTTTGGCTGTACTAGGAGATGGCGCTTCAGGGTGTAGACACACTTGCTGCCTCCTCCTGATCCTCTGATGAGAGAGCAGACCTCTGCAGGGCTCGGGGTTGGCGCTTTTCTGTCTCCATGTCTGAGGGACCCAGACAACCTCACCTGTTCCACAGGACAGCTCTTCACTCGCAGAGAGCTTTTTTGTGCCTGTGTGTCTATCTGTCTGTCTGTCTCTGTCCTATTCTCTGATGCAGAAAGGCACTGGCCCAAGTGACTGATCACTCCTGACAGCCTGGAGCCGAAAGCACCAGGGGCGGGCTCTGACCTACTTTCTCCTTCCTGAGCTGGAAACATTTATATAACAGACAGCCACAGGGCCCTGCTGTCCCCATGATGGGTAGGAGATGCCCAAGACTAGCCACAGTGTGATCCAGTTTATGGCCCTTGCAAATCAACCTTAGCAGAAGCGGGGCTTCCCGTAAGAGGACTTGGCTCAGCTTACCACAGGGTGTCTGTGAAGACATCTGTTATTTGGTGTCACATCGGTCTCCTGCACCAAGTGCTCTTTTCCTCCTGAGATCCTTCTTTGGGAGCTCTAGCTGGGGCCCAGCATTGCTCGGAGCCTATGTAAATATCCTGGCCAGCAGAATTCATCTGTTGGGCTTCTTGCCCGGAGCAGCAAGCAACCACACATACGACATCACCCTCCACACTGTAGTGCTGAGGCCCTACATTCCTTGCCTGCCTTCTCTCCGCGTGCTCGCCAGCTCCAGAGCATCTCCTGAGGATGGACAGCTTGTGTCTCTTGCTTCTAGAAACCTTCTTGGAGCCACTCCTTCCTTCCTCTTCCACTCCCCCAGGCTCCGCTGTCTTTCTAGACCTGCCTGGTGTGTGTCATAGTCTAGCTAGCATTGTTGGTATTTCCCCAATGGGGGTGAACCATCCCCTTTCTCACTTGCTCCCTCATAAAGTACTGACCCAGAGCCTGTGGATAACTCAGTGACGAGAGCTACTAACCAGGAAGGCCTGATCCCAGGTCACCCATGCTGGCATCAAGTCATCTTGTCACTTTCCCACAAATACTTGTACCTGTAATTTGTCTTTGCCTGCAAATAAGCTGAAGCCTTCATTTACCCCGTAAAGCTAACCATTAGAGGTTGCCCACAGAACAGGATAGACCAGCATTGTGCAGGGAGAGCATCTTGGCTTTCGCAGAACAGCAGCAGTTTAGCAGCCAGAGACCGAATTCACATTGGGGAAGGTTGCCAGTAACTTGGCATAAAGGGACAGGAGTGCAGGAGCCTTTCTAGATCGTTGTAGGCAAGAAGGGCTCTCAAGGGTGTGGGTCATGCTCTCTGAGTCTGCTCCCTGATGTGATAGAAAGCAGACAGAAGAAACACTAGAAGAGGGGGCTCACCAGGCTTGGTAGCCTAGCACCGGCTTTCTCTTAGATGCCTGGAGGTCTAGAGAGGCCATGATGGGGCAAACGGAGTCTACAGGGCCTAAGTGACCTGTACAGGGTCACATGGTTAGGACCCAACTCTGAACTTCTCCTATGGTGGTGACAGTGGCACACCCACTGCCCTGGAGGCTTGAGTCCCATGGTTCTAGGACCGAAGGAGAGTACTCCGGGTCACAGCTGTGCCTTCTTGTTCCAGGTGACGCCATCTGGGCCCCATCCATCCTTCCTCACAGCACCCTCAGCACCTTAAGCCACCACCCTGAGCTACATTTTGGAGGAAAGATGGAATCTAAGGTCTCAGAAGGTGGCCTGAACGTAACCCTGACCATCCGCCTACTGATGCATGGAAAGGTGATGTGGGGCAAAAAGCAGGGCCAGGGATTTGCTTTGTACTCCTTATTCTACACAGTCCTGAAACTCCGAAGGCCTTGCATGTGCAGTCCAAATTACACTTAGCGCTTCTCAAGACTGTAGCTCGGTACCCTACAGTGGCAGTGTCCTTCAGGTGGGTGCTGAGCTGCATAGCCAGGAGGCACGCCTCCCCACCCAACCCAGCAAGACAAGGCTGGTGCTGGGTTTTCTGATTCTACCCTGAGAAATCTAGCTCCCAGCTTCCCTGCCAGGAATATAGTTCTGGCAGGGAACATCCAGCTTTTCAGAAACCATGTCCTCTTGCACATAGCATCCCTGTCCTCTGTTAGGTGGCCTTTCCTTCCTTCTCACAGCAGAGTCCCACATGGGAGTCTCTACCCATCAGCCCCTAGTTCCTGTGACAGAAGGGCTACAGCTGAGCACTCCCTCCTCTTGTCACCTGAGCCCAGGCCAGGCCTTCCACATGGATCACAGCAGACAGCAGCATTGAGTTTCTGAGGACTTGGTTATAGGGAGAAAAGCGGGAAGTCAGGCTGGCCCTGCCCCAAGTGGTACCCCATGGAAGAACCTTCGTAGGGCTGTCCTGTGGGCTGGGACAGGGTGGGAGCACTGGTCCAGGTGCTCATATACCTCACAGGCATTGAAGTATTACTGTAGAATGTTGGGGTCTGTGCCCATGGCTTCTCAAGAGTCCTACATTGTAAAGCAAGCCCAGCAGCCAAGGTGTTATTTCCTGTCCCTCTATGGCGGGTCTCCTTAAATGCATGGGTAACTTGCCTTCTACCAGGAAGTTTGTTGATGAAGCTCAGCTATGTCCCTGATCAGCCCTGGTCAACAAGGCTCAGAGAAGCTGGACAGCTCAACATAGACATGTCTTCTTGACTGGAGTTTCGCTCTCGCATGGGGCAGGTGTATGGCTCAGTGGGAGAATACCTGTCTGGTATACACAAGGCCTTGGTTCCACCCCAACACTGTAAAAACCATAATCCCCCCTCATGTCACATAGACTGCGTTTTGAAGCCTCAGCCTCACAGTGCTGTGACATCATCTTTCTCGATTTCTTTTTCCCTACAGGAAGTTGGAAGCATCATTGGGAAGGTAATTATTGAGTGATCTCTGTCTTTCTTGGGATCTCTATAAGGTAATAGACTGAGACAGCAGTAGCTGCTGGTGCTGACTGGCCCCAGCAGGTACACAGCCCCGGCAGCCCTGTTCACACCCCCTCCTTACTTAGACAACAAAACCATGACTCTTGTTCTTGGCTCTTGGCGAACCAGGTAGAGAGCATTCTTCCTGGGTGCTGGCAGGGCCCCAGCTGGTCAGTTTCAAGCTTGTTATTGCCACCTCGGTGGCTGGTACATCTGGGTTTCAGACCCTGGGAAGGGTCACTGTTCTTGTACTCTTCAGAACTCCTGTATAAAAATGACCTTCAAGGAATTAGTAACTCCTCTTTACACACCTAAAGCAAAAGATGTTTCCATGGGGAAAGGACCAGTCAGAAGCCTGTGAGAGGAATGGCTGGGGGCTAGGCACTGCCCTCCCAGCCTGCTGTTTTTCGGTCATCTCTGGTAACCCTGCACCTGCACGGTAGGGGAGCTTCTAACTGCTCAGTGTCCCAACTCCTTCCTAACATTTCTTTGGGAAGGGCTTCTCATGGCATCACTACCCATGAAACAGTGTTTGAGCAAGGCTTAACCCCTGCTGGGCATCCCCTGGCAATAGGCTCACCCCGGTACCATATTTGTGGTGCTGCCATGAAAACTGACCTAATTCTGATCAAAGCCTGCCCACAGTGGCCATGCCTCCCTTCCCATGCCTTTGTTTCTTCATCTGAGCTACCCCTGGATTGTGGTAGGCAAGGACAGAACAGACTAGACGCAGGCGGCACCCCCATGTGCTCCTGGCAGTGACAGACTTCCTTATCTGTGTCTCCATTCCAGAAAGGAGAGACGGTGAAGAAGATGCGCGAAGAGGTGAGTGTACTTTACTCTAGTTGTCCCTCCATCCCCAGGTCAGGTTGGCCAGGTGGAGATGGCACTGCCTGTGACTCTCATGGACCTGCTCAGGTGTCAGGGATGCAAGGCTAAGAGAGGGGGCAACCGGTGTTCAGCTGCGGAGGGCACAGGTTCTCCTGGGAATCACTGGAACTCTTACTAATTAGAATTCTACTCTGGTAGGGCATGATGGCACATACCTGTAGCCCCAGCACCAAGGAGACAGAGGCAAAAGAGGGGAAGCTCAGTGCCAGTCTCCGCTCCACAGGGAGTTCAAGGCCAGCATGGTTACAGGAGACCCTGTTTTTAAAACCAATTTGCTGGGGATTTCTGGCAAGGATTTCACTGTTTAGAGTGAGATTTTTAAGCATGTGTCAGCACTAGTGTCTGCAAGCCTGGATGGGCCAGCTTTTCTCCTCTGCCAGCTGCATTTCCTCTCGTCTCACCTTAGAGTGGCGCCAGGATCAACATCTCAGAGGGAAACTGCCCGGAGAGAATTGTCACCATCACAGGCCCAACTGATGCCATCTTCAAAGCCTTTGCTATGATAGCATACAAGTTTGAGGAGGTAAGGCACGGGCTGGCTCCTGCGCCCATTCATCTGTCTCACGTGGTTGAGGACCTGGCTTGCTTTGTGACAAGGCTACCTAGAATTCTCTTTACCTTCAATCCCCCAGGTGTTCACCGCTGCTTCTGTCCCGCTAGTGAGGGTCAGCACCCTTTCTCATTCCTGAGGTTGGCCACGTGTGCCATGGGCACCGTGGAGAAGCCCACCTCCCAGATGCTTCCCAGGCACTACGCAGAGCCTCCCAGCAGGCACAAGGCACATGGCTGCTCTTGTGTCTCTTGTGCACTCATACCTCTGGAGTCCAGCTGCTCTGTCTGCCACATGGCCCCAGACACAGCCCTAGCTGCCACAACTCTGGGCTGAGCTACACACACTGCAGCATCCCTCCTGTCCGGAGAGTTTATATAGCCGTGTCTTAGCTGGATGTAGAAGTGTGTTTTCATGTTGGGAGATGGACGCAGACACAGGTATATGTAATACTAATGTGTTCTCTCAGGGAGCTACTCCTGATGTTTTTAGTGTTACCACTTAATGTGTATCATATATGGTGATTTAGGCTGGCATTTTTTCTGTCATAAATGAGGGGTGATGGCCAAATTTTGTGGTGGGCTTTGTGAGATAAGCAAAGACCCCTCTAAGCCTCCATCATTGATCACTGGGGAGGGGGACATCACATAATGGACAGAAGATTTTAGGTTTGCCCTAAGGATGGCTGTGGGTAGAACTGGAGATGGCTGACTCCCTGGCAGCCAGGCTTCCTGCAAGAGTCAGGAGAGCTAGGATTTGCTTTTTCTGGTGGTCCCTTACTTAGAATTGGGAGCAAACCTTAGGGAAACTGTGGGTACAGCACAGATGCTCCCACAACCAGCCTGCAGGAAGTCTAGAGTAAGCTGCCATCTAGTGCTCTTGTGCCAGTGGGTGGGGACAGTCCACCAAACATCTGGGGTTCAGATGCCATTTGTCACTTCTGCCAGAAGCAGTCAGGACTCAAGCAGTCTTTTCACCTACAAAGCCTGTCACAGGGTCGGGGCTGGTGATTCACATACTCACTCTTTTTTTTGTCACTTAGACACAACTTCATGGCTTCTAGTTACCCTCTGCCCTGGAAAGTGTCCGAGACAAATTTGTACTTACACACCTCTGAGCCCATGATGACAGTGGCCATGCTAATTGTTAAATTTCTTCCAGGCATCTTTGCTGATTCAAAGAACTTGGCTTCAATTTCATGGCCACCCTTTTCTGTGCCTTTGAATACACTCCTTCCTTCTCTGGGATTTTTCAAATCCTCTTATTTGTTTGTTTTTGTTTTCCTCTCTTCAGTCCTAGGAAATTGAGCGAGCCTGGCAAGCACTCCACCACTGAGTTGCACCTAGCCCTGCTATTTTTACTGCTGGTTCTCACTGTAAATCTGGCTAAGAGTAGCCAGTGTTAGCCATGCCGTTTTGTGACTGCTGTGTTCCATTGAAATTTCATAGACTCTAATTCCTAGTGGAGTCCATTTGTGTGGCCTTCCCTGTCCACACTGATGCCCATCAGAGCCATGCCCAAGCTCCACCTCAGTCGTCCTGTGCCATGTCTAGAATGGGTCTCCAAACACCTGTTTTAAAACAGTTCTAAAGCCTCTGTTGCCTTATTAATAAGATAGTCCATCAGTATCCCCACTCCTCACAACCAATATTTGCTGGTCAGTTTTCCATTACAGTCATAACGACTCAAGATAAATCAACTTACAAAGAAAAGGCTTATTCTGGCTCATAGATGTAGAGGGCTCACTCCACAATTTAGTGTAAACCATTGCTTTTAGGACTTAGGTTGCTGGAGTTTCAGCATAACATGGCAAGAACATGTGATATAACAAAACCATTCATTCCATAGCCAAGATGCAAATAAGAGACTGAAATTCTACACCTCATTCAAGGACACGCCCTCAGTGACTAAAGCCTCCCACTAAGCCCCACCTCCTAGAGTTCCATTGCCTCCTATGTTACTTTTCTTGTCCCTGTGGTAAAATATTTGAGGAAAACAACCAAAGGCAGGAAGGATTATTTTGGCTTATAGGGCAAGAGCACCATCCACCATGGCAGAGGAGGCTAGGAGGAGGAAACACCTGTTCCTAGTAGAGCTACAGTCAAAGAAGAGATGGATGCTGCTATTACAGTCACATTCTCCTTTCCATTCAGTCTGGGACTTTGGACCATGGTGACATTCACATTTAGAGTGAATCTTCTCACCTCAGTTAAGCTAATCTAGACACCTCCTCACAGACACACCTAGACTCTGTGACCTAAGTGATTCTAGATCCTGTCAAGTTGACCGTCAAAATTAACCCTCACATCTCCCAAAAGCAACACGGCTGGAGGCCAAGCCTTTAACACGTGGACCTTTGGGGGACATTCCAGGTGGAAATCATAGCAGATGAATTAGATAAGGATGTTGGAATGCCATCTCAGGAGGAGACAGTTCCTAACCTACAGTGGGTGTCTGTTTAGCTCTCTATTGCTGATCCCAGAGGTCTTGTGGAGTGGCTTTCCTACTCTGTGGAATACCAGATTGCTGTTGGAGCTGTGAAACATGAAAAAGGCTTACGCATCAGCTCCATGGAGTTTCACTGCTGCATTTTTGTCAAGTGTCTGATTTGGTCCCTTCTGTGAGGCTCCAGAGGGGCTTTTCTTGAGGAGACAGCTCCTCCTGGTGGAAGGTTTTTAAGAGGCCTGGGGAGCAGCCTCAGCCTGATCTTCTCATAGTATGTCTTCTCATAGTATGTTCACCTTTGCCTGTAGCGGGGCAGGGAGTACGTCAGCATGGAATCCCCAAACTCAAGACTCTAAGTAGAGGGCAATGTAGCCACAGAATTGGTTTATTTGTCTTGGGCCTAAGGATGTCAGGGCATCTATGCCAAGGATCAAGCTGAGAACCTCACACATTCTAAGTACATGCTGTCACTGAACTACACCCCAAGCCCTGTAAGTGCTAGGAATTTTAATTGCCGTGGATGCCTCCAGCTTCCCAGAACACTGTGGTAATGAGGCAGTGTTAGTAATGGGTAACTACCTCCAAGGGCTTAAGTGCTGGCTCCTGTGAAGCACCGGCCCTGACATTTGGTGTAGAAGTTGGTGTGCTCCCAAACCAAATAAAGCCAAGCCATTTTTAGCCACTTCAAGGAAATGCTTTGTTACCGCCTAAAACACACACGTAGTAGCTAAAACACCCTTAATCCAGGAGACAGGAAACCGTATATAAACCCCACTGGGAGTGGTTCAGAGGGCTTGAGCCAAGTCTTACCTTCTCATTTCTTCCACTTTTGTTTTGCTGAAAGGGTGACACGTGGTCTGAAAATGCCCTCTCCTGTCTCTTGTAGTCGCTAATGCTTTCACATACCAGCCAGTCTTTTCCATTGATGACACCATAGCACATATCAATCACACCAAAGCCACCATAGGGACAAAAGGTCATGCCCCAAGTCCACCATGGCAACCAAACCAGCCCCCAGGCTGAGGGCAACCAGAAGCAAAGCTCAATACCAGGAGGGTGGGTCTAAATGCAGAGCTGCGCAGAGGCCCCTGGGCACTCTGCCTGGATAGAGACTGCTGGGTCCAGAACCATGGGAAAGGGAGGGAGACGAGCAAGCTGCCCAAATGGAGCATGAATGGGCGTATGCAGCGCTGGGTGGAGCAGGGGGTTAGCCGCTGTCCGTGGTGCAACAGAAGAAGTCTGTACTGGGGGCAGTGACCCACTTGGAGCCAGGCTCCCTGGCGATTGCCCAGGAAAAGGGGGGGGTTGTTTTTGTTTTTGTTTTCTGGGTAATTTGGAATTGGAAGTGGAGATAGACATGAGGTCAGGTTCTGGCCAGGTAGCCCAACATTCCAGAGGTTTGGGTGTGACTCTCCAGGATGGTGGTATATGTTGGTCTTAGTTTCTTTCCCCCAAATCGGGCTGCCTCCTCTGTAATGAGGCTCCCTGATGCATAGGATCCTCTGGGTTTCTATGGAAATAGGCCTTGGACTCTCCCCAATTCCATCTGACCAGCTAGTAGCACCCCTTGGGAGTGCTCTCCACTGACCCCAGGCAAGTCTACCTCACACATCTGTCTGTCAAAGCCCTCATACCAAATAGATTTTCCATGCTGAGGAACCTGTACCCTGTCCTGAGTACCCTGTGACTCACTGGCCACCCAGCTTTGTGAATCCATATGCATAGTTGGCACATGTGGCCATCTGGCCCATATCTCCTGTTCCTTCTAACACTGGCCTGGTTCTGAAGGTTCCACGGTTGCCAAGTCACTCTCTGAGTCCCTTCTGTATGTGTGGGAGGGCTCCTTGAGTTGTTGTCAGAGGCAGAGATGCTGCACACATATCCTCACGGTGTTCCTAAGCCATACCGCTGTGCTCACTGGTATGAATCTAACATGACTGCTTTCTCCTCCCTAGGACATCATTAATTCCATGAGCAACAGCCCTGCCACCAGCAAGCCCCCAGTGACATTGCGACTAGTGGTCCCGGCCAGCCAGTGCGGGTCCCTGATTGGGAAAGGCGGCTCTAAGATCAAGGAAATCCGGGAGGTACTGCCCATCCTTATTGCATGTCTCCCACACAGTGTAAGTGTATGCACTGATACTGCAGAGCCTGATGGCTCAAAGCTGATGTGCAAACCTGACAGACAATCCAATTCACCTGTGGAAAACGGATGTGGAGAACCTTGCCCCATCCACACGTGCACACGGTAACCTGTCCCAGGAGTAGCCCTGCCTTGCCAAGGACAAGAAAAAGGATGGGGGTGGAGGTCCTTGGACAGGCAGGTTTTAGCATCCAATTCTCTGGTTCTGGGCACACTCTGCCTGAGAGATGCCCTTTTGCCCATCTCTGTCAGGTCCTGGGATGACACTAATGGAGTCTGAACCTGATGTGAGTTTGGCATTGAAAACATGTTACTTCAAGGAAGACCAAGTCCCCTCCCTCTCTCTGGTTTTTTGAGACAGGGTTTCTCTGTGTAACAACCCTGGGTGTCCTGTAACTATTTGTAGACCAGGCTGACCTCAGACTCACAGAGATCCACCTCTCTTTGCCTCCCAAGTGCTGGGATTAAAGGCGTGCACCACCATGCCTGGTCCAAACCCCTCTCAAGCAGGAGGGCAGCCACCCCTTCTTGATCCTTCCTGTCCTCTTCTGTGACTTGGATGCCAGAAGATGCCAGGTTCACCATGTGTGTGACTCCCTAACATTGTCACTAAGGTTTGTGTGCCTCACTTGTCCTGAGGTCCCAGGCTCAGGCTTCCTGGCCTCCATGTGATCTACTTCCATGGAGGAAGAATTCTTGATGATGGAAAGAACACTCCTATTTCCCTGTAGACATTCCTCTACAGATTCAGGGCCGCCCGCCCACTGGCTGAGCTGGCAGCACTTTTCCAGTAAGTCATAGCTCCCTAAGTGGTGTGCAGAGGCAGGACTGAAGGAGAGAAGGCAGAAAAGTGACATCTGGGTGGTAAGATGTGGGAGGGCACTGTGACAGCCAGGACCCTGTGTCTAGTGAATGGTTTCATGATGCAGACTACCCTGGATGCATCCCCAAGAGTTGGGAGGCGCTGTTCCTCCTGTATGTCTTCTGCCCACGGTCTGCCGTTCTCCTTCCAATGGCCCTTCTCTGCAGTCCACAGGTGCTCAGGTCCAGGTGGCAGGTGACATGCTGCCCAACTCCACAGAGCGGGCAGTGACAATCTCAGGGACCCCAGATGCCATCATCCAGTGTGTGAAGCAGATCTGTGTGGTCATGCTGGAGGTAAAGTATGAACACCGTGGGCCAACACATGTCACCGCTCAATACATGCCTTGCTCAAGGCCAAGCTCACTCTCTGTGTGACTTTCTAACTTTGTCACTAAGGCTCCTGTGCCTCAGTTGGCCTGAGGATTCATGTAGTCACTTGGGGTGTGGGGGGGATCAGACATTAAGAACAGGCAGATCACAGGGGTGGGCTGAAGGGACATCCTAGGAGTATCACCTGATGGTAGCCTGTGGCCATTGCCTGGCTGTGAGTGGGAGAGCATGGGTGGGAGCAGACGGGGCAGATCATGAGGTGTCAGCCTTGGAAGTAGTAACCACTCTGACCAGACAGAGGTGAAGGGTAAGAGGAAGTCTGCCTGTCAGGCCATCCAGCACAGCTGGCCTCTAGGTCTGCAGACTTCAAGAGAACTGCTATCCAGTGCTCAGGGTAGGACTTGGACAGACCCAGGAAAATACAATGTGAAGAGAACGATGTGGGGAAAGAGATGGAGCCACCAGACAGGAGCAGCCTCCTTAAGTTCCGGTCACGGGGGGGGGGGGGGGGAGGAACGCGCG